TTTCTGGGGAGAAAAAAGACAGTGTGGCCCCTTCTGGATCTACATCTATTTCTTGCCAGCCAGGGACATTAACCGTTTTATTGGAAGTAAAATCTAAAGCCCCGACTCCTAAAATCAATCAACCAATTGATCAATCTATTCATCTATTTAGGATCTGTTTGTCTATCTAGCCACTGATTAAGCTTTCCTTTCTCCCCATCCTAATCTTCTTCATTATTTATCTATCCATATGGACAGGCCCAGAGACCATAATGGGTCACCTTTGTTTTCCTTTGAGGGAAATGAATGGAATGTTGTGCTTTTGCCATCGTCCAGGGCTCAGCATTTTCTCAGGGAACGATTTCATGCTGAAATTTGCCTTCCTGCTTGGCTCTGCTTGATCTTCCCCATCAAGTCAGGCAGGCTCAGAACAAGGTCCTGCTGCCATTCATTCCTGTGCCTTTTCTTGGGACAGCAGCTGCCTGTGTAGGAGAATGGTTCCTCCATGAAAGGGCCCCACAGTAACTCCTTTTAACCTGGGGCCACCCTCAAGGGAGGTGGGGGTAGGAAAGCTCCCCAAAAGGGGGAGGAGAGAGAAAGTTCTCACTTGCACTTTCATCCCCTGATTCCCAGCTTGTCTGCATGTTTTCCTTCCATAAGTGACTTATGTGTGATTGTTTCTAGAAGGCAGGGAGTGTGTGAACTGCGGGGCGACCTCAACCCCCCTGTGGCGACGGGATGGAACGGGGCATTACCTGTGCAACGCCTGCGGGCTCTACCACAAGATGAACGGACAGAACCGACCCCTCATTAAGCCCAAGCGAAGGCTGGTGAGTTCTCCTTGGGAAGCACAGCTCCCACACTAACCATTTTGTGTTTCTAATTTCCTCTCTTCAGAAAGGAGAACTTTTTGCAGGAAATTGGTAGGACAGCTCAAAATCATGTCAGCTTGCTTGGGACAGGTTTTTTTTTCCTTTTCTTTTTTTTCTTTCAGCAAGTTAGATATACTCAGTTCTTTCTCTCTCTTGTTTTTCCCTTCCACATTTCCTAAGTCACTGATCCAGTTTTTAAGGATGTTGACTTCTTGGTTATCAAATCTTAAATGTATTTGCTAGTGGAATAATTGTTTTAACAGGGACCAGGGTGACTGATTGAAAATGCATTGAAGTTTCACAGAAGTTTATCATGAGAATGGAATGCGCCAGGCACCACCGTCCAGACCATGCTCCTGAAGTTGTAGAGAAGTGATCACAGACTTGGAGCTGTCTTAGTGCCATGGATGAATCTTGGGTGCAAATGCTTTAAGGTTGATGGGGCCACTTAACTGAACCTCACAAACAGCAGCCATTAAGTTCTGGGAGATTTTGTTCTTTCTTGGGCTCAAGGATTGAGCACTTTCCACACTAATGCCTCTGGGAAATTGTGATTCTGCCCTGCCTCTTGGTCTCACCTAGTTTTTAGTCTTATTTTCCCTTTTTTACTGCTATTGGTAGAATAATAGTTTTTCCCCTCTTTTTTCTTTCTTAAATTTCTTGATCCTTAGAAATACTTGTGAAACCTTGGTACTGCCTAGCATTTACAAGGAAAACTAGCAAGAGAGGTTCATTTGTAAGCTTGTCTTTGGAACCTCAGGCCAGATTGAATAGCAAATTGTATGTAACAGACAAATAAAAGCAGGCCAGGCAGATGATAACTCTTAAGTACAGTCAAGAGATCAGAATGCTTTTTGTGGTGATGACATTCACCAAGTAGAGAGGGGAGGAGGGGAATTTCCCCCTGCCTATTAATGGATGAAGTAACATCCATCAAATACTAAGGGGAGCCACAAAAAAAAAAAAACCTCTATTCTTTTAAAAAAATTATTCATCTTCCACATCAGATTTTTAGTGCAATTCAACACCTTTCACTTCCTCTTCAGAAGAAGGAAAAACTTTCTAGGGAAGGAGGTGCCCACGTGACTTTAATTTTTGGCAATACTTGGTCTTAAAGCTTTATCTTTTCTGATCTTTGCTCCCTTCTCCAACTTTCTCCACCTCCCCCAACTCATTCCCTTGCACTTCTGTATTATTTTTCCTTTCTCTCATGTGCAAAGCTAACTTCCTAGGAAAAAGCTGCCGGATATCTGAGTGCTGGAGATAACTCCTAAACAACAACTCAGCTTCCCCAACCTAAACATCAAGATGTTTGGACGTATCAGAACAAGACGTGTTTGGAAAAAGAAATGGCTGGAGGTGTTAGCACAGAATGAATGTGATTACACCACAAAAGAATGTTCTGAATCACTCAAAACCTGGCCTTAGTTTAAAAAAGAAAGAAAGAAGTAAAAGAGAAAAAGAAAAAAAGTAACAACAAAAACCTTCCTCTTAAAATAAGTCATGATGCCATTATAATTGGGCTTTCTCTTTTTTAAGGTAAAAGTATGGAAAAAGGGAAGGCAAGTCTTGGACTGTGTGCTGATTGATGAGCAAAAGTACATTTGATATTTTCTTGAGGTTTCTTCTGTCTGGGCAGATTTCATAGGAGAGCTCTACTTGTATTTCATATAATTTTGTCTTCACCTTTCATTAGAAATAGCTAGAACTCAGTAATAATTGATTTTAATTCTAGAGTACATCGGCTGTCATATTTTAGCTATCCTTTCTTTCTTACTCATCTGTTCTAAGTGATTTTATACTTTTAGTTCCATAGAGTTAATATGCTCCAGGGAGATACTTAGAGCACATTTAGGATGTATTTTTTTAGCTCTTAGATGTATTTGACTTCTGAATATCTAGAACTTTCTTTTTCTTCTTTCTGGTATTTCCTGGTCCTTCGCACCAGCTCTCTTTCCAGTTTGCTGTTTTTACTTTGCACATTTGCAGACTCACTAAAGACCACCCATAATGTAGAGAGCTCTTCCATAAGATGCATATCTAACACTGAATAAACTCATGCAGGAAATAAGAAAAATAACTGAAGGGAAGATCCATAGCACTTTTTTTCCTAGTGTTGCAAGGATTTTCATATGTCTAACAACTAGGTGAGTAACTTGCTTTAATAAAGTACTTCGTCTCCTGCTAGTGAACCAATTAGTGTGGCTTTTAGAGGTTCTGTATAAATTTGCATAAAGTCTGCGGGCCCATGTATTGCGAGCCTCCTTGTGTTTATATTACTGACAATATACTGCCAAAGACTGTACCATAAAGCTTGTCTTTTGATGCTCTAATTTACCAGTTGGCATTATGTGCTTGTATGTACATTTAAAGTTGTTGGGCTGGAAAATCCGGTACCTGAGTAGATACTAGGATATCTATGATATCCAAGTATTTATTTTAAAGAAAAAAAAGTACAGGAAGATAATCACATAAGAACACAATTGTCAGGATCTGTAACACTGATTTTCTGTATCCTTTTCTTCTTGAGATACACAAGTGAAACAGTTTTTGAAATCTTAAATCACCACATTTTGTAAAGGCAGGTGGGCATAGGCAGGTGGGGTTAGAGGGGAATACTCTCGGGTTGTGGTGAAAGATTTTCAAAATGGAAGCCATAATGCAGAACTTTCTCAATTATGAGAGATAGGAGACATTTCAAATTTCTAGTTCCTTAGGGCACAGAAAATAAAGAATGACTTAAAAAAAAAGAGAAAAAAGGCATAGCTCTGCTATTTAAGCCCGTAGGAAGGAAGAGCAGATCTATGGAACCAATTTAGTGCCTTTGCAAGGGAAGGAATCAGTCTGGTTAATTCAGACTCACCACTGGGTTCTCCATATCTGGCAGCTTTGGGTGTTTGGCCCAACTTTTTGCTTGATAAAATATTAATGGAAAAGCATACCATGACCCCTGTAGTTTTTGTTCCGCTCATTTATAACCATGCCAGAATTTTCTTGATCACAGATAAAGACAAACTGAATTCTTTCTCCTCTTGCCTTTCATAATATTTTTGAGTCCACGGGCAGGAGTAATTTTGCAGTTAAAATTTTCTTGTTATGTTGGTGAGGAGTTGGAGAGTGCTGTGTTAGAAATGTCCCAACTCCATTTGCTTTCAAAAGTTTTTAATTGTTTAAAAAGTATGGACACAGAGAATAGGTCCCTTACACATTTAAGTGGGTCAAAAGTGAAAGAAAAAGTCTCCCATCTGAAGGCAGTAAGAGCGTCAAATAATTAAAATTAAAGTTGAGCCTGACATCTGACCTGCAACTATTCTGCTCAGTGGGCAGCAGGTAGGAAGCCGGAATGAGATGACAGCAGTAGGAGAGGCCAGTGTTTCTGCTGAATAGCGAAATTCCTTGTTCTTTTCATTTTGTCTCACATGTGGCAAGCCACCTAAAGAGAATATGGGCGGTTGTCACAGTGAGTGACCAAGTCTGAAGGTGTGGGTGGCGTACATTTAGGACTGCTGCTCGGTGCGTCCCAAGGTACATGCTCTGTGATGCACGCCGCACATGGGCCTGGCCGTTCTCCACTCCAGCACTGCTTGCCTCACAGTAAGGCATTTATTTGTTTGGGATCTGTGAAGTGCTTTTAGATGCTCAGGTTTGTTCCTCCTTTGCTGTCTGTGTATTGTGATAGCCAGTTGTGTCGTTGAGAGTGGATATTCTTGGCAGTCGCACTTGAGAAAGACCTTGTGTTGGCCTGGTGGATGAGGCCACCGAGGGTCTGGTGCCAAAACTAATCTGGTTAATTCAAAATTGCTACCCATAAAAATGAAGCATCTGGCGAACTTTGTCGGATGAGGTAGTGGGATCATTATTATGTCAGAGAGATGGCGTCGGCTTTCTGATCCTCAGGAACTGCTCTGGAGCACAGCAGGCGAAGTAAATTCTGCCCGCCTGGCTGCAGTCTGACATGCTCCTGGGCCAGTGGATGGGCTCTATTTTCTTCTTGAGGATCTTTATGGGGATCTTTATGACTTTCATGTGGGCCACTTGCTAGTTTTGATTTCAATGATATTTTCTTGTCTTTTTTTCTTTCTGTTTTTTAAGTCTGTCTCCGTAGTTCTGAACACATGTTTTGATTTTCCCCCCTCTCCCCACTCCCAGTCGGCAGCAAGAAGGGCAGGTACATCCTGTGCAAACTGTCAAACCACCACGACCACTCTCTGGAGAAGAAATGCCAATGGAGACCCTGTCTGCAATGCCTGCGGGCTGTACTACAAGTTGCACAATGTAAGTGTCGCTGGGACCAGCCAGAATGGTCCCTTTTTGCTGATGCCTAGGAAAGAGCGTCACCTGCTCTGGGTCTCCTTCGTGATCCTAATTGCCCCACTTTGGGCCAAGTAACAGGTCTCAGATAATCGTGCAGTGGGATCCAGTGTAGAGACCACAGCGTGGCCTTGCTGAGACAGAAGGGTTAAGGTCTAAGAGCTACCAGCCCCCTTAGTACGTGTGGGGAACCATGTGTATGCCATGACGCGGCAAACCTGCCCCTGTGGTGGGCCTGTGCTGGGGCTCTAAGGGATAAAAGTCTTCCCTTTGGAAAACTAAAAAAGTCACCAGTTATATTTTGATGTTTCCTTGTGGTTTAAACTTTTTGCAAACAAGAGAAAGAGAGTAATGGAGAAACATAAACAGAATTGTAATGCAAGGCACACAAATTCCCCAAACGGAGGATCTCTGTATAAAAGGCAGGGAATGAAGTGTCTGAGAGATTTCATCTGATGTCAGTGTGCCCAGTAGGGGAGAACTGAGGAAAGCAGCCCAGTGAGGTCGGCCAGACCAGGGAAAATCTATGTCTTCTCTTTCTGTGCCGTATGCCCAGAATGACAACTGCCAGTCAGTCACCTGGGTTTAGCCTGTCATTTCTAATCTTTTAATTTGGGGTCCTCCTGTTTTGCAGTACCTTTACCTTCAAAAAACAACAACAGAAACTTCAGGTATATTTTTTTCCTGAAACAAGTCCTGTTGACAGGCAAGGAGGCCTGAAGTTTTCGTTAATCCAAAAGAAAAAAGTGTCATTTCTCTCTGTCTTTAGCTCTTTCTGGTTCTCCTAAAGTCTCTTTGCCAATCTGACTTTGGCAAAGCCTGGGACTGAACGAGGAAAAGGCAGAGCTTTCTGCTCAGGGCCATTCTGGCAGCCAGTGCAGCTTACTCAGGAAAACCTGAGAATCGGAGAGGAAGCTTTTCTGGTTAGATTTTTGGAGCCACAGGGAAACTTCTCAGGGTGACTCTGGCACCCTTGTCCTTTTTGCCTCTTGAGAATAAGTTGCTGCAGTTTCCAGGGCACCTGTAAACCTCTGCTCCTTGCCCTAGGTGTTGTCCCCTCTTGGCATAGTCCCTGTGTGGGGCCCGGCACCAGTGGGGCTTCCTGTAGTCATCCATTCTCCCTCGGTGCCCTGGTCTGCACTTGATGCACATTTATCAGCAATGAAACCTGAGTCCCCTTTCCACTTTGGACACTTTGCTTGCTCACCACAGTGGAGATAAATGGATTTGTGATTAAAATCTGGAAGATTTGGGGCATTCGAGTCTATGAGCTGCCCAGTCATCGGCACAGCCTGTAAAAACTATTCTGGGGTTGTAATTTATGGTTTTCAAAGAACTTCCACATTCCTTGACTACCTTTGAGCCTCAAAGAGTCCCATGATGTACACAGGTCAGAAATTATTTTTATTTCCATTTTACTTGGAGGAATTTTAACTCAGAGAAGCAGTGACTCATTCAAGTGGATGTGGCTGAGAAAGTAGACAACCCAGATGGGTTTCAGAGTAACCAAGGCCTTCCTGGGGGGTCAGCAGTGTCAGGACTGATAGGGACCAGTGGAAAGTAAACACTTTCTCATTTTATAATATACTGAAGATAATTCAAAGTAGTGAATTGTGCATGTATACATATATGTCTTTCCTATTTCCATATAAGTAGAGTAGTGGTGGGAAATGAACCAGCTATCTATTTCTTGGAGTACTTAGTCATGATGAAATGTGATCCCAGTTATGGCCAATCTAAAAAAAAAAAATTCTGGAGGACACAAATTTCTTATCAAATCAAAGTCAAGGAGTCCTCTGTGCTGCCTACCTTGTTCTTAATTAGCTCTTGACCGCAGGGCTGGGCCCAAGGCGCTGGGAGACAGAAACCTGCTCATCAACAAAAGTGGTTTTTCTGTCCTCTCTGGTTTAGTAAAAATTCACAAAAGGAGGCAAGTTATGTGTGTTTAACAATAAGAGATAGTAATCAATTAACATTCTGCCCATCGAGATAGCTGTATATGTATGCTATAATAAGTTAGTTCCTCTCTTCTTATCTAGGTGTTTAGATAACTACCTATCTCAGTATCAGTGTATCTAGGTGGTGTTGGGACTAGTTATCTGGGTTTGTGCGGCTATCTGTGTAACCAGATATTATATTTAGATATCTGGCTGTGTATATCTAGATATCAGCGTAAAGAGTTGTATGTCTAGACATTATCTTGGGGACGATTTGATAGGATAGTAGATTCCTATGCCTCTGTAGGCTGCATCTTTATCTCAATTGTAACTTTGAAGAAGGAAGCCTGAGATGTTCTTTTGGCAGCAGCCTTTTGGCTCTTCTGCCCCCTGGCAGCCTGGGGATATCAGGCTTCCGTGCCAGTGTGTGGCTCTGCACCCCCTCCAGGGTGACCACTCCCAGCTCGGCTCCAGGAAGCTGTGTGTTGGCTGCTCCCAGAAGCATTGTCCTCAGCGTGCTCTCTTGGCCCTTTGGGTTCCTTTTTCCTTAACTGTGTTCTTCTAGCTTTTGGAGCAGACAGGTAGATCCTGGAGCCAGGAGAGCCTCTTCTTTCTCCATGTTTGAGAACCTGGTGGAAGAGGACACTTTTTGCCTAAGGAATCAGGAGTGATGGGACTCCGACATTCCCTCCTTGAGGTATTTGCCTCATTGCCCTGGAAACATGGCCAGATGTGGGGTTTGCTATATGGGGCAGATGTTCGCTCTGGAGGTTAATTTGATTGTGACTCCTTGTGGGAGTGCTCTTTGTTAGCTTTGTAAAGTCCCCTCTCTTGATTCTGGGTTCCCCAAAGCAGATGTATTTTAAAAACAAAACAAACAAGGATCATCCAGAAGAAAGGCAGTGTGCTGTCTCGGAGACCACCTCTGTGCTTGCCTCTCTCTTTAGTTTGTTCCTTGTCTTTGATTTTGGGGCTGAGAGTGCTTTCATGAAGTATAGTATTCTGCACCCCACCGCAGTTAGTGAGTACTTGTCAGTCAGTTGGTTAGCTGTTTAGTTGGATGTGGATAGTCAGAACTAGGTGTAAATTGTGCCTTCGATCATTGCAGTTGCCGTGACATGGGCAAGAGCTTACCTTTTGGAAAGACACGTTAAAATAGGACCCCAGAACATACAGACTCCAGGGGAAGATTTTACAGCCCCTGTCAGTGTGAAAAAGCCAGGTGGAAGAGAGACCACCAAAAATTGCTGTGAAGAAGGTGTAGTCCTGGTTTCTCAAGGCAGATAGATTGAAACAGTAAGACTGATGACCTTGGCAGTGCTTTTAAACTCCTATCACAGATTACAGACAAGTGGACAAAATGTTATTTCTCTCTGGCAGATTCCTATATTGACTCCACTCTCATGAACTAGTCTAAGAAAATTTTAATGAAATAAGACAAGTTATTATGTTTTAGTTACCAGGGACATACAGTCCTACTGGGTGGGTCTCTATAATCTGGTCCTTGGGTATGCAGAATGCCCCAAGGCAAATCTCCCCCAAAATGACTGATGTGGATGACATAATTTAGCAGCCTCTGCTTGGAACACCTTACCTGTGGTCTCCTGGCCTCTGATGCTGGTAGCAGTCAGGCCCTGCCACAGACCTAGCCTGCAGGACTCTGGGTCCCTGGGAAGGAGGAAGAAAGGGGTCCCCCCAAAATGAATCCCTGACCTGGGGAGTCAGAGGAACCTATGTCTGGGTGTGAAAGCCTGTGCCATTTCAGAGTGAGCAAAATAGTAAAAAAAAAAAAAAAAAATTGATCTTTGTTTAGATTAACAGACCCCTGACTATGAAGAAGGAAGGCATCCAGACCAGAAACCGAAAAATGTCTAGCAAATCCAAAAAGTGCAAAAAGGTGCACGACACGCTGGAGGACTTCCCCAAGAGCAGCTCGTTCAACCCCTCCGCCCTCTCCAGACACATGTCTTCCCTGAGCCACATTTCCCCTTTCAGCCACTCCAGCCACATGCTGACCACCCCAACGCCGATGCACCCCCCATCTAGCCTCTCCTTTGGACCTCATCACCCTTCCAGTATGGTCACCGCCATGGGCTAGAGGCCCTGGCCCACGTGGACTGGTCTCCGCCAGAGGCCTGCCAGCCCCTTCTACGTGCATTTTTGCAGGAGCAGTATCATGAAGCCGAAACCCATGGATCTACGTTTTTGAAGGCAGAAAGCAAAACGACGTTGGCCACTTTTGCAGAGGAGCTCGCTGTGGTGTCTGTGTTCTCAATCACTGACTCTGGATCCCATTTGTGAATAAGCCATTCAGACTCACATTCCCTCTTTACCAGGGTCTCTAGTGCTGTGAAAAAAACCTAAATACAAAAAACAAACAAAAAAACCCCACAAAAAACCACTGAACATTGCATATAACTTATATTGTAAGAAATACTGTACATTTGAAGAAGACTTTATTGCATCTGGGTAGCTGTGACAAAGGCATGAAGGACACCAGGAGTTTTTAAGGCATATGGGGGAATAAAGTGTGGAAAATAAGAAGAAACTAGGTCTGGTATTCAAGTGGACAAACTGCCAGTTTCCTTTCCTTTCACTGGCCACAGTTTGATGCATTAAAAAAAAAAAAAAAAGGAAAAAAAAGAGAAAAAAGTCTTAGGCAAATCATTTGATCAAAGCTGTGGGCCTCTGTGTAGGAGACCTATCAGGGCCGGGCATCTGTGTCAACACGCATGTATTGTCATTGAGAGTCTCAGATAGCCTTTTTCCAGGCCTACATGCTTTGTGAACAAGTCCCTGTAATTGTTGTTTGTATGTATAATTCAAAGCACCAAAATAAGAGATGTAGATTTATTTCATCCTATTATACAGGCTGAATTGTTGTACAAATTTATTTACTGGTAGTGTTATGAACTGCTTTTTTTTGTTTTAATATTTTCCTTCTTTCTAAATTTTTGGTTGAATAAACTAGATGACATTCAGTTGACCTAAGGTGGTTGTGCTCTGGAGGGCTTCTTTTCCATTTTGCTTTTTGGTGATATTTATTCAATAGCTTCTAAGGGTACAGCAGCCTCTGCCATGTCACTCAGTGCTCCACAGCCTGTACTGTGAGGGTAGTCACGTATGAGCTACCGCCGTGCATGTCAGTGACTCAGGCCGCACGGCCGGTCCTGGAGCAGCCTGGCTGATTGTTAGCTCCTGTTGTGTTCTGTGTTAGTGATCACTGCCTTTCATACAGTCTGTTGGAATAATAATATAAAAATAATAATAAAATATTTTAAAACAACCAAATACCATCGTATCCAAGTAGTGGCCAAGCTCTTATAGAATCTCATAGCTCTAGCGAATTTAAGAAACGAGTTCAAAACCAAAACCAAAACTCAGATGTGTTAAGGTATTCACTAGGAGGTAATGCAGACCCCAGATAGTCAGCACTGATTCCTTTGGGAAACTGGGTGTCTTGGGAGCTCTCTGTGAAGCCCAGACGATTTATCCTGGGGCCGGTGGAGCTTCTGTGGTCCCCTAGTGAGCTGTGGTTCCTTCTTGCTCACCTGTGTCCTCCGTGGACTATCTTCTCGCAGGAGCAATGGGCAGATTTCCTCGCTGAGCTTCACAGGCGGACTGTAGCTGGTGGATTCCACGTGGTCCTCTGCAAGATGTAAAGGAGCTGGGCTGGTTCTTAAGTTCATTTCTGTTTTGCTTTTCTATTGTTGAATTGAATAACACCACCATGGAGGGTTTATGGGAATGTTTGCGAAACATGAAATCACCATTTTGTAACTTATGCTGTATAGTTTCCTTTGACTCTGTTGACAGAATGTGTAACTATGGTACACATTTTAAAATCTCTGTTAATCGCCTCTCTGCTTTCTTAGCAAATATTTTAAACCTAAAGCTAAATGTTGAAATAAAGGAGTAGAGAATTACTGAGATGCACATGGAGATCTTACTGGCTCCTAATTAATGATCTGTAATTCAAATGTTTTCAGTTGCTTCTGAAGCCCCAGAGGAAATCATCATCTGGTGCCATAATAAACCTGGGAGATTTTATTGTATAGTCCTGAAGTCTCAGGATTGGCCACCTCTTTTCATCATGAAGAGGTTTGAGTTTATGCCCTTTCACCTTCAGAACAGGGAGTTCAAATTCTTGACATTCTTAGGGCAGAACTGGGATGGGGGGGGGGCACAAGTAGAAAAAAACCCAAACTCGGTACTCTAGCTACATTTTATTTAAGGTACTGTGGTGGTAATGGTGTATTTGAACTTATTCCTTCTTCAGAGAAATGTCATTTTATCATTCGATTCATTGATTTAACATTCTGAGATATTTCTTGAATATGAAGCAAAAGATTTACAAAATATATATGAAAACAATGATTTGGTTTCTTTGAATTGTTACATGTTTTCCTGGTTTCAATGGTTTTGTTCTTTCCTTTAGCGTGCATTAAAAAAAAAGACACACTAGAAGAGCAATAGTTGAGAGGGTTTTATCTAAGAAAGTAGAACACAATTGCATATATCAAATACTGCTCAAGTATTTTTGAGTATATTATACCCCTAATTAATTTTCAATCTGTTGGGCCTCATTTTTGAAATAGTTGCATGAACTTGCTCATGACTTATTCGAAAAATACATGTGCAAATTTGGATTATTTCTTGAAAACACTTAAAAATCCAACATAATAGAAAAAATAAACTACATAGTTGTTGAGCAGTTTTGCTGCTTATCAACTCCTTTTATATACCTGGCAGCAGGAATTAAGATTAAAATTAAATTGAAAAAGTAAAAATTTTAGAGTTTAAGTGCTTCTTAAACTTACTCAACCAATACCTAGTGAGAGTCCAGGTTGAAGTCCATTTAAAACCACTTGTTTTTTTAAAAAGCAGATCAGGAAACAGAGAAACCAAAACTCTAGTGTCTCATTCTGACTTTGTGACATTTACATATTATTCCTCTTTAAAAAGAGCACTTGTGCTATGGTGAGGTTCTCAGTGGGGCCTCTGGGTTTGTGGCGAGGTGGACATAGGTGGGAACACCAGAGCCTGTCTTCTGAGATTAGTGTCTACTTTCTAAACTGTTCTAAGTTTTAAAATGCATTTTTAAAGCTTTTCCCTCATCACAGGACTTCAGTTTAGTATTTCTGAGAACTGCATGAAGGGCAAATCTTTCCAGGTACTGTGTGCCTGACCTGCATTTAGCAGAACACCTGTTCACAAAATTCAAATGCAGAAACTCGAGTGTAGTGCCATCCACTCACCACCTCTGATATTTTTCTCACGATGGTGAATTGTCCCATTTCCATGTCAAAGATTAAGAGGCCTATTATTCCATGTTCTCTTTTGTTCCATCCCTTGTCCTCCACCCCAAATCCACTCCAAATCTAAAGACATTTTGGTGATCTTTTCTGGAGAGCAGTCATGATTGACCTCTCTGGAGGTCAGTTAGTTCCATTCCATTTCCAAGCCAAGGAGAGATTTTTAAAATATAGTAAAAATTTTAAAAATAAATTAAGGGCCAAAAGAAAGCATTTAAATGATAGTACATTATATTACAGTTTTATGCACAGAGCAAAAAATTTAACCATTATCCAAAACAGCTGAGTAATGCACCGGTCCCCTTTTCTGCACTTTCAAATGATAATAAACTTGGAAGGAACATTATAGTTGTTTATTTCATCTTGCTCAAGTGGGGTGAATACACCCTCAGATTGGACTTGTCCATATCCTTTGCAGAAGCCCAAGAAAGGGAAAACCCCAGAACTGTGAGACATTCATCGATCATTTGAATGTGTGACAACCACTGTCTCAGGAGTCTGGAAACTTGGGTTTCATCCCTGGTTCTGGCACTAATGAGCTTGATTCTCTGAGGCCATGTGCTTGATTTCTCTGGGAATGCTCTTTATCCGTACAATTAGATGAGATGGCCTCTAAGACCCATGTGAGTACAAAAATACTGTGATTCCACTGAATTTTTTTTCTTAACTTCTGAGAGCAATTTTTAATAGGAAAGGTGTCCTTACACCCCATCAGAATTTTGACCAGAGTATTTTAGAAGCCTGGAGTGGTGAGTAGTTCATAAGATTCCTGACGGGTCAGGGGTAATTCACCCCCATCTGTCTTTATCTGGTGAAACACAAATTAACTTGTATTTTGTGACTGTCAACCTTGGACAGAAGTTGATGTCTCAGTCTGCATGCAGTTTGCTGTCTTTTCTGAAATGTGTCCAGGCCCCTCTTGAGTGGAATACACGGGACTTGCTTGTCCTGCGGATACTGGCAGCATGGTTCATGTTTCACTTATTCATTGTGTAAGGAAATTCTGCCTGAGTTGCTTACAGGCTCTTCTAGGGTGATAGCCAGAGCCCAGCCTTTCTTTTTCCTGTGCCCCTCTGTCTTTCTTTTTTGGAGAAGGGGATAAACAGAGAAAGTAATCAGTGGTCCTCAAAAGCTTGTTCCTTTTAGGGTGCTCTGTTCAGATTCTGGTCTCTCTAGGCCTTCCTCACTGGCCCTTGAGCTCCTTTGCAGGGGATCCCGGTACATTAGCCACATTGTTTGTGGTGTGTTTGCACAATCCCCTGTCATGTCTGTGTGCACAGTCTGGCAGGCTGTGCACTGGAGTGGGGATTGGAGAACTGGCCTATTCTCCCTGCCTGCCCATCCTCCCACTCCCAGGTCTCAGGCTGTTCAAGAGACTGAACTGCCTGGGCCTCCTCAAGCTCCAAAGATGTGCAAACACCTGAGGGAGTTTGTGTTCCTAAGGAAGCAGCTTTGGATCCAGAATCCTGTAATTTAGGGATGTGTGTGGACACACGCAGGACAATTGGCTCCTGAACCAGGTCCTAATTTGATGAACTGATCTGAAGGGAATCCCCTTGCAGAAGGATTTGGATGGCATCTGTGTGATGCCTAAACAACCAGATAGTGTACTAAGAAGTCAGCCAACCTGGTTTTCCTTTTTTTTTTGACATGTGGGCATAAGAAACTTTCAGAAAAATCAATTTTGTTTTCTTTCTTCCTTTTTATTTTTTATATGATTATAAAATTAGATAATATTTATTGACCAAACCTGTAAAATACTGAAGAATGTTCTTTTTTTAAAAAAAAAAGCAGAAGAAACAGCATTTTCTGGGTTGCTGTTGAATTGGCCATGCACAGTCTGGTCTTTGAATAGTTTGTCCTGAATGCCTTAATGAATCTGATGGCCTGGGGGTGGGGCCAGGGGGCTTGCGTAGAACATTTGCTCTCTGAGGGTCATTAAACCTCCATTTCATGAACTGGAAGGAGTCATTAAGTAAAACTGACCTTGTAAAAAGTGACCGCCCTCTCCTTTATGGGACTGCCATTCACAGCCATATCAAGG